TGGTAGATTTCACAGTATGATTTTGATATTCAGACAGTCTAGGATGATTGATTTGTATGATTCACTTTTTGAAGTACACATAACTCTCGGATTTAAATCCGAAGTTTCCGCATTTATTTTGTATTTTGCAATGAGTGCCCTGGAGTCGTTCTTGGAGATCCCACGCTAATTTTTTTACAGAATTGTAGCCCAAAGAGAGTACTTCCAAGTTCCAATAGCCAACGCCCCAGACAATACATATTTTGGGACAAAGCGTCTCCTGAATGTCCCTACATTTAGCAAAATTCCGTTTTTTCACATGACTGCCCTGAGCAAACGGAATAGTATGGATAGCTGAAATTTTCAGGAGAGATACGCATTTTAGTTTTTTTCATATCACCCTCCCTACAGTCGACGGAATAAATTTTGAAAATTTACATTTACTCGTAAATCTAAATTATAATAATTTACATTTATTTATAAATGTAAATTTTGCAACAAAATAATTTACATTTATAATAAATATAAATTACTTATCATTAAATTTACGAATAAATTAAATGAGAGGTAAATGTAAATTGACACCCCTAATAATAATTAAAATTAACTCATCAGGTAAATCGATCAGATGAATGAAGTCTTCTGTACAGCAGATAATAAAAATAAATGATATTATAAATGAGTTTTCCATTCTCATACCTGATAAAGAATTCATTATCGATTTAATATGTCTATCTAACAATAGGGTGTGGGTGTGAATGTGTGATTAATTATCTGCACGCACATTCACACCCTAGTTTTGAAACAGATAATTTTTTAATATTGAATTTTACTTTTTCATTTACAGTTGTATTTGTATCACAGGATGAATAAGTGTAATTTTCCTTGCTCTGTTTCAGTTAGTTTTGATAAATAACGATAAACTTCGACATATATATTCTATAGCAATGGGAAAAACTAGATCCCGATTCTTAACTACATATTATTATTGCAGAAAAAAAGGTAATCGTTAAGCAATTTTGGTAATAAAAAGTGGTACATAAAATGTTTAATACATTTTCAAACTGCTAGTAATGAATAAAAATATTATGTCTAATGGTGATTATAAAAACCGGAATTCCGTCCATTACTGTATATAGTATTTCATTTGACTCGAGTGAATAACACCACCGTTTTTCTGCGTAAAGTGATATAGATTTTCCTTGATAGTTTCATCATCTACTCCACGACATGCATCTTCGATAATAAATGTTTTATAACCATTTTCTAGTGCGTGCATAGCTGTTGAATATACACAGAAATCTGTTGCTATACCAGTAACGAATACATGAGTAACATGTTTGTTTTGCAATTGCTGTTGTAATGCTGTTTTATTTAATTTTGAATTATCCCAAAAAGTTGAATATGAATCAATATTGGATTTTGTTCCTTTATGTATATGAATAACTGAGACGTTTTTATTATTCTTTTCATCAATTATTTTCAAATAAGGATATAGTTGAGCACCAAAAGTATTTTGAACACAATGCCGAGGCCAAAGGGTTTGTTTCATACAATCAAGACCATTGTTAGCAAACGTTGCTGTCGAATAAAGACGAAGATCAGCTAAAGAAATTGAATCACTCGTAAGCAAATGTGAACGAAGAGGAAGATTATCAAAAAAAGATATATGATCAATAGGATGCCAATCGTAACTGTAAACAATTAAATCGAAGTTAATTGAATCAAGAAGACGATTTATAACTGGAATAACTTCCTCGCCATTATGTTTTGATGGACAATTTTGAAGAGCCATAGTTCCATTGATAAAATCATTTTGTACATCAATAATCAAAAGAGCATTAATTGGTCGATTTGAAGATTGTCTAGTATCTATAGAGATTAACAGCGAATTCAATCGTTATAGAAGTAATTAAAATTATTTTAGAGAAAAACGAAAACTCACTGTCTGTTCGTAAACTATGAAGAAATCTGATCAATTGTGTTATACTATGACTACTTCCATCCATTTTATTCAAAAAAGTACTAAGACTATTGTTCAGTTGTAATTCAACTCGATCAAGTTCCTCTGATACGTTAGTCAATTGATCCTGACATTGGTCATCATTTAATGAGTTACTTACAACTGCAAGAATGATGAAATTGGGAAAAATAGCAATGCAAAATACATAGTGGCACGATATTTTTGGTACAATATATAGAAAGTAATAGTAACACTAACAAATATAAAGATAACTAATTAACAACATTCGACAATTTTATAGTTAGACATTATTATCGTTTGTTTTGATTGTCCTTCATTTATCATCAAATATAGGTATGGGAAAATCTACTTGCAGAATATTGTGGGTGTGGGTGTGGGTGTGGGTGTGGGTGGAGTGTGTGGGATGTGGGTGTGAAGGCCAATATTTATCATTCCACACCCACACTCACACCGAATAAGAAAAGTTCGAATCTATGCATAGATTCATCGATATGTACAAGACTAAGAGGAAAAGATCGATGTGAATATCATGATTTAGTAGCAATATAATCTATATTGTTGGAGAAAATCGGCGATTAATAGCGATTTAGAGAAGGTGAGTTTTATGTAATAATCGTTGGACATACAATGAATACAAGAGTGTGTAAAAACATGTAAGGTTGGCCATGCTCTGAGGTTATATTATGCTAGTGAATGAGACTGATGGCTACGTTCTCTCCTCTTCATCATTTTATGCACAATCAAAAACGATTTTGGGCGTAGTGGTGATTCTTTTAGAAGCCTACACTCTGTATTTCGATAGATCAAGCGTCCACATCATGACACAGACATCTATTTTAGAATTTGTGAGAGCTCCACTGTTGATTTTCACACGTAAGGACCATAATCGATCGCAAACTGTAGTCGAATGAAGTCTGCCTGTATTCATCCGTATATTCGATGTACGGATGCGACACGCTATATGGAATGATGTTACTCCAAAAACTACGTTACCTGCAATTGGTTTAATGTATAAAGTGATAGAAAACAATGAAGTACGACGGTTGACTGTGAGGTTCATTAATTTCTTTTACTAAATACTCCTATGGGAAGGGTCGAGAAAAGTTAAACGGACATTGAACAACTGAATTTTCCGTGCATTTCTTCTTTACTGATTTGCTTTCATCAGAATCGCATCGATGAGTCATTTCTCTGTAGAAGAGACAAGCTGACTTTGTTATCATTTTCAGAAAATTGTCAGAATTAAGTCAAGCATATATCTTGAATACTTGACATTAAGAGTCTTAGCATATTCGTTCAAAATTGCATGTCAAGATAGAATAATCAATAAAGAAATTGCCAAAGAAGGAACAAGCGGACATCAATGTCATCTATAGTAGAATCATTTCCATGAATTATCGATGTTAGAGGCAGCAAGTAAGTTATGAATGCAATAGCTATCGTTGAGTGTGACTGTTTTGGACATAGAGAGACAACTTCGTTCACTCAGATTTTACTCTTTTTAGATTTTTATTCATTCTGCAATGCGTCATGTTGATTCTTCAATCAAAGTAATAAGGCTCTTAATATAATGGGTGGCGTGCTGGCAGAGAAAGAGGAAAAAGCGACGGTGGAAAGGAAAGAAGTAAGTTGTTAAAGTAAAGAAGAGAAATTGACTCACATGAATTCAAGTACACCCCATCACACTTTAAAAATTTGGATGACGTTTATTGATTTTTTTCTTAAGCCCCCCTCCCCTCAAAAATCGATCTCAGCCCAGATACATTCAAATGGGCTGAAATTTGGAGCATATATTGGGACTGAAGTGAGGAAGCTGTGGTAAAATTTTCAGCTCGATACCCCGCCGTTTGAAAGAGATATCAACCAAACAAGGGTCGGAAATTGCTCATTTTGTCTGCAAGATTTCTCTGTGGCCCTTCATTCAATATAGATATTTTTTTTGTTTGAAAGAGCATCTCAGGATGCAGGGCCTGTGCGCGTCCTTTTTTTTTAAATTCTTATCTATCAAGCGGAGAAAAGGGTTGACAATTTCATTCACTTGTAAAACTCTTAAAAAATGGCGCTCTAATTATAAAAGCGCTTTTCAATATAATAATAGCAATGCGTCATTCAAAAAACGGCGCCTCACAGCACCTGTAGTTTTTGACGCTCTTTCAAACAAATAAAAATATCTGACTTTACACAGTACTGTGGTTGAGTTTTCTTGCAAATACGTTGTCAAACCTACATACTAAGAAAAATGAAAAATGATTTTCAGTTTTTTGTAAAAACGGCCTGTTTTTCGAATAGGGGGTAACAAAAATCTTCCAAAATTTTTGGAAACATAGAAATGTTGAATAAAATTTTTATCGCATATGAAAGAGCAGATCAGAGGCTATCTCTCTATGCATTTTTCTCAATTTCGATGATTCTGACGAAAAGTGACGTTTTTGAGGGGGGGGGGGGGGGGGCTTAAGGTTTCAATAATTGGTGACAATTATGAACGGCTGCTTGACGTTAGTATACATTGCTATGATCTTGATAATTTCTGACTACCATCAGCTCCTCACTCAAGCTTGCAAGTCGCGAACAGTACAAGCTATATCATAGTCGACCTGTGTGATTTTGTAAAACTTTTCAGTTTCAATAAACGTCCTTTTAAAAGAATGCAAACTGCTACAATAGAGCTGTTTAGTGGCATTGAAATTATCAAGGGGCAGATGAGCAGAAGAGAAAAACTGTCACTGGTGAGTATACATTTGGTCAGACGCTATATCAACAAAGAATATAATGTGCGGTGTGCATACACTGACCGTATGAGTCGACTTGGAAGTCCAGTATATATCGGTTTCATTTTCTCCTTTTGAGAAATAATCGTCGCTGTTGTTTACATTGTACTATAGAAAGTAAGATAGCGAACAGAAACGGATATTGTTGAAATGCCCATACAAATTCGGTAATGAACTTCTATCTTTTTGAAATAACCATACGCAGAAAAGTTCGAGATTCAAGTTTCAATTTTCAAGTTAAAAAATCACGATCGTATTCAGAGAGACATTTCTAGAATATCGGAGTCAATTTACATTCTGATCATTTTTCGGAGAACTGAATGTCTACTATTATATATCATTTTTACAATAAATTGTTCGTTCATATCTGTACCAATTTTACTGATAACTTTAACTCTTCTTATAGGTCAAAAGCACATATTGAATAAAGAAAAAATGAAACATTACTTGAGATATTATAATTATTTTAAAGATATGAAAAAAAAATACAATTAATATACAAAAATTTTTTAGGCATATTTTGAAAGCGGACTCTGGCCTTATAAAAAAGTCGCATCATGCCTACTAGAGAGTTACTTTTATGTCATTAACTAAATATATAGAAATTTTAGGGAAAGTAGAATTATATAAAATGAACACTTTTTATTAAAAAATAACCATCTCAACGTGAGCCATCAATTTTGCACTCAAGGATGATATATGAAGGACAGCAAATAGGTCAGGAAAAATTAAAAAAATAAGAAATGTTAGAAATATTGTCAGAAAGAAAAATTAATATACTCTCTCTTATCGCTAATAAAAAATAATTTATGGCTGCTTTACGTTAAAGAACGACGGACTATATTGTATGCGTTCGATAGAGCTGCCAAACAAAACAATGAATTCTCGACATCATCGATCGAATTATACATGTTACTAAACAATAAATCTATAATCGCCATTACTTAAACCGTTTTCCAAAAACAAAATGTCTATTTTATATGAAGTTGGAATTCATTCTCAAGCATATTTAAAAATTATCGTTGAATTGCTAAATTCGTTCAAAAATAATGTTTTTAGAAAATTGAGTTGAAATTCTAATTTACTGCAAATTAAGCATGGTCTACAAAATGACTAAACCATTTTATGATTACTAATAATCTGAAAATGTTTAAGCTTTATTTTCTAACTCGATTTTCTAGAAAGTAGAATTTAGTTCAACATTTCTTGTGTAAATATTTTCGCCCGAGAAAATCAGGAAACTCAATGATGAGTCCTGCTTATAAATGACGATTCCAAGTAGTAATGTTACTTTTGCTTTCATCGTTTTCTATACTGAACAATAAAATATAAAATCTTTATATTAATAAAATAAATAATTATGAAGTTTTTTTAAGAACAATCTAATTTTAACTTTTTGCCACGTAACTCTCATAACTGTGTGATATGATAGATACAAATAAAATATGCAGAAAAGTTTTTTGCATCTACTTTTTTCATGTGTCCATTTCATTCTTTTAAGGATATACCCCCCCCCCTCTTTTGTGACCAAAAATTCGATTTCGAGCTGAGCCTAAGATCCGATAGCCTGAAGTGCCAGATGCAACTAGAGACATTATTCGACTCTAAATGTTTTACTTTTACGTAGCGATTAGATCGAGAAAATTTTTTTTTATTTTCCTTACCGTTTTGTAAAACAGCGATTTTATAAATCTTTATTGCTTACGACCTCCCTCTTAGTTTGACAGATCGAGCTGAAAATTTTACCACTTATACTTAAAAGTTTTCTCCAGAAGAAAAATCAAGCGTTTTCATTTTTGATGTTCCTACTCGGAGTTACAGGGTCGCGAAAGTCAAGACCCGAAGCAAAAGCTCAACTCTTGGCGTATTTCTCTTGTAAAGAAAAAAAGAAAGTGAGATTTTGGAAATCCTTAAATTTACTTCTGAAGAATAGTGTTAGGCACCTATAAACAAAATTTCAGCCCAATAGGACAAACTTTAAGAGGGATCGTAATGTATCAGGATGCGGACCTCTGGAAAACCAGGGTTTTCCAGAAAATTCCATAAAAACTTATTTAAAACTTTTTTCCTCTATAAGATATCTCTTTAATTTTGGTATTCTATCTGTACTAAAAATTTCAGCTTGATCGGTTGTACCGTCTTCGATAATCAGCAAGGGCCAAAAAAGAGGTGGGCGGGTACCCTTAACAATATTACATCTCGAAATGATAATGGTAATATGGAAAAATATTCATTAGCATATTCTATTGTTGTACTAGATATTTGTCTATTGCTGTATCACAGAAAGACTTCCTTTATTTTTGAAAATAAAGAACTCATTTATCTTTATTTTTACAAGTATAAACATTTTATTTATAGTTTCCTTATAAAATGAACATAAGGACATACCGTTGTCGACGAACAGAAAAAACGCAAAGTCAAAAGAGTCTTCCACTACTTACGTGTGTTTGAGAGAGTATCTGTCATTGCCTTTTCGATTGCTTTCTGAGTCGATTAAATTGAGTGTTCGGTAATATCGTACTTTATTTATACAAGTATGAAGAATGTTGGTATATTGTGTTTGTAAAATGCGCAAATTCTACCAGAATAAATAGAAAAAATCTATGAATAATTTGATTCAATCATGAGTACGTTGTTTTCTTTAACACATTTTTTGAAAAGAAAACAATCATCATTGAGAAAAAACCCTTAACTTTTCTTTTCTTCCTGTCATCGATGATGCACATTGTACACATGACGTGTGTTTTTTCTTGCGACTACTCGATGCAAGATTTCCTATGTTCGATACGTCACAAGACTGGCAATTTGACATTCAGCAGTTAAAGATTCCTTTTTCCTTATTCATTACAAAATATTCGGATTGCATCTCCTTTATCCTTTCAATAACTATTTAACACGGTGCGGTGGTGGGGAGAGATATGCTCACATTTTCGAAAAGCGAAATTGTCGAAAGTTAAGTGGGGTGGGTGCGGACGTGTGGTGGGTGTGGAATGATGAATATTGGTCTTCACACCCACATCCATACCTACACTCACCCACACCCACACCCACACCCACACCCACACACCCACACACCCACACCCACACCCAGGAATGGAGTTTATGTGAAATTTGAGGAAATTTTCTGTAATCAACATTAAAGAAGTCGAATCGGTCCTGATGCGTTTATCATGCATAAATGAATACGTTCGATAAACTTGTTTTCTGTTTTGTATTTATTTAAAAAAAAATATCAAGTTCTACTAACTTTTTCGTTTCATACGTTCATTAAAGAATAGCAGAGCGTATATGACATTTTAGTAATAATATTCTTAAGAAAGTTTAAAATTAATCTATTCATTGATAAATTCATGAAACGACTATCTAGCAAAAAGTGATTCGATGATTACAAAAGAGATTATAATAAACGAAGTAATAATTTAAGAAAGACAACAACATTGAATGATTGTATGTATATATCTTATATTTTTATAGTTATTACTTCCATTGTTTGTATGGTTTTAATGCAATATAAAAAGAGTATCGAATCTATCGATTCGTATTTATTTCTTTTATAGAATACAATTTGCTTTCAAAAAATGTTTTCGTTTTTTTTGTTTTAAAAGTATTCAATATAACATACATATGCTTTGATGTACCCTAGATTGTATTAAATAACAAGCATAAAAAATATTTTATTCATTATGAACGGCTGACTTTGATCTGTAAATATCTTGTGTTTAAAAATTCTGTCGAACTGATCTTATATGTACGAATCTACTATCCACAAAACATAGATTATGTATGAATACAGGACTCTTGGTTACCAAATCGATATTTTCGAAAAGTGCAAAGGATTCACTAAGGAAATATTATCACATGTATTTCGTATCCTTAATCTTTTAGTCCACATTATATATAGGTTGATGTACGATTGCAGATTATGGATTTGTATAAAAATAAAAATTTCAGTTTTGGACAAAAGAGATAATAAAGAGAAGGCGTAATTTAATTTTCTATCGATTGCTAAACTAACTCCCTCAACAGACTCTGAAATGGCCATTTGTAGAATACTCGCAGAAAGTAAAGAAAAGAATTGAATTAAGAAATGGAAAAAAAAAACTTTTTTTCTAGTAAACTTCACTGAATGTTAAATTACAACAAGAACATTTGTTTCTATTGTTCTGTCTTTGAAATATTTGACTTGAAAATTTAAAGATTTTGAGAAAAAAAACCGACAAAGTCAATTGGTTTTTTTATAATAAAATTCTCTCTCTACAGTAAATAGAGATCTTGTAGAATTTCTGTATGATATTGATCCCTGAAGAACATATATTTCAAAAGTTGCACGATAAATGCGTGAATACAAAATACGAAGACATATAATGAGCCACGTAGTCATCAAGAAGTAGATAAAGACCAATGGAGAAGACAGGTGATATATGCATGACTAATCCCAAATCATGATAGGATAGTATGAATTGAATTTCTTCGGAGCGAAATTGTGGAGTATATGGTTAGTCTCTAACATGTTGTTCAGTTTTAACGACATCAATTAGTCAAACACACGCCCATACATTTCTATTTATACATGGTATGCTTTTATTTACCTGTGTGTATGTGATACTATTTATTCGTCACGTTGCTATTACAAACACACTTTGATATAAAATTTTGCTGCAATTGAAGCGTATCAAACACATAAATTAGTAATAAGTCCTGCATAATGAAATGATCATTATCACTGACAATCCACTTTGTGTCATGCACAATGAATCATTCAACAATATATATACGGTTTTTTTGCGATTTATTTAAGGGAGAACACATCTTTATGTAAACAATTCTTATTATTAGTGTGTCCAATGAGATCGATACGGATCATCTCAGTATTTTCTCTTTATCTTGTTTTAATCCTTCTGGCTATATTCGACGAAACTGGTTCAACACAATGTACACGGTATGGTAATCCTCCAGCTAAGTCTAGTGGATCGATGCTTAATTATAAGAAGATGGTTCAAGTATGTCAAAGCATATCAGGACAACTACTTTCTTTCACGGATAGCAAAAATGCATTGCGTTGTGCATGTCTTCTTATCACATCTTCATCAAAAAGGTTACCTCTAGTCGTCTGGTTTCAACCATCGATTGCTTACTCAACGTCAGTATTCAATACGAGCTTCACAGTCGAAGCATATACCACTAAACTGACAAGTACACCGAATGGTCCATCTGGCTATCATTTACTTCTTCCAGCAGCTCGATTGACGAAAAATTTCGAATGCCATGGCATTGAATGCATTGCCTGGGATATTTGGTATCGAAACTTTAACCGATCTGATCCAAATATGAATGTCGATGTTCAGACAATCGACTATTTCATTAATTATGTAGTCTATCATATGTCCAATCTTCATGTTGATTCCTCTCGTGTGTTTCTATCTGGTTGGAGTAATGGAGCCTCGATGGCATTGCTATATGCACTCAACACACCCACAATTGCTGCTGCAGCTGTATATTCATCGACAAATCCCTATCGAAATGCTAATGATCCATGTCCACAAACACCGTATCCATCACAACGTACTTCTGTACTCGATTTAGTCAATGAATGTGATTATACTGGTATTTGTACAGGAGGCCAACAGTTCATTGGTGATTTGAACAATCGCTTTGGAAATCATCTAACGGCAAAATTTATCACTATTAACGGATATTCTGATCCTATGCCGACGTCTACGCCAAGATGTAGGAATTGTCTGAAAGCAGTAGGGTTGCTTCATCACATTCGATGGCCAGTGAACCTTAATAATCAAATATTCTATTCATTTTTTCGAAACTATACATTGCACTGATATCACTCGCATATATTATGTTGAACAGAAAGTTCACGGTCACTTGCAAAAAAGATCTAATCGGATAAGATGATCTATCCAGCATTGAGAAAGCAAATATACCAAATTGTAGAAAATTTCAAGGCGCATCGA